TTTTTTTAAACATATCCTTTATTTAACCAGGTAAAAGACTCATTGAGATTAAAATCTCTTTTCCAAGAGGGACCTGGCCAAGAAGGGCAGCATGTACGAAGTTACAACAGATGGATTGATTATTTTGTTTACTGATATCTTTAACATATTCTCAAATGTAATAAAGTGTTGCTGTGTTCAGATGGTTAGTGTTGTCGAAGTGACGACTGCATCTATATTAATAACTTGTTTGCTTTGAGTAATCTACAAGATGATGAAACGTGTGCAAACATGTTGGCACACAGATCAGGAGATGTGTGTAAACAAAACTTACTAGATCCTTAATGGCTTTAGAGCTGCAAAGATTTATTGATTTTTATTCAACTATTTAATTAATCTCCAACTATGAATTTCCTTTTTCTTTTTCTTTTTTAAATGGTCAAAAAAGTATTTAATTGTTTGATTTTATACTATAACTGGGAGTCTCCTTACATTTAAAACGCTGTTTTTAAAATGCTGCATTCACAATATTTGTAGGTGTAAGTCTGAAGTTGTCAGATACCATGATTCATGTTTTCTGCTTGATAAAATGGTCACATTCAACAGACTTGCAGTTACTAAGTGATACATTTCGAGTTGATTTCTTCTTTTTCTACACTTCTACAATGTAGGCAACTTGATGCCTTTTTTATAATCATCATGTTCGAACCACACTGTTTGGAAATGCACAACATTTTCAATTTTTATCTATTTTTAAGGCTTGTCGAGCAGCTGGAACAATTTGTACCGAATGAATTATAGAGTGAACAAAGTCACAGCATTTTGACCTGTAAGAAGAAGATGCCTTAGAACCAGAAGATAAATAAGAGCATTACAACTTTTTATATAGATACATGTTTTTACTGGTCTTAACAGTTGATTTTGGTTCTTGTTTGCAGGGCTTATCTTTGTGGTGGACAGCAATGACAGGGAGAGAGTGAACGAGGCGAGGGAGGAGTTGTCCAGAATGCTCGCTGAGGACGAGCTCAGAGACGCTGTGCTGCTCGTTTTCGCAAATAAACAGGTGAGGTCACGTTTCTGTATCTTGGGGTATCTTCTATATTTCACCATTAACCTGCGATTGAGAGTCTCAAATTGTCTAAAACTGGAGGCACGTGCTAATTCTTAAAATGTTTTAAACCTTACCTATAAGCCCCTTTTCTTCCCTGTTACATTTTGAGGTATCTGCTTTTGTACCCTTCATAATGACAGTCCGTTTCTCCTCCTCCAGGATCTCCCCAACGCTATGAACGCCGCAGAGATCACAGACAAGTTGGGCCTGCACGCCCTGCGTCAGCGCAGCTGGTACATCCAGGCAACCTGCGCCACCAGCGGGGACGGCCTGTACGAGGGCCTGGACTGGCTCTCCAACCAGCTGAAGAACCAGAAATGATCCATTCCACCAGTTTTGATTTTTTTGTTTGTTGTTTATTTTTTCTGTTTCAACACAGCGGCAGCACCGGATCCAGGCCCCCCTTCGCTCCCATTTAACCCACTCTTCAAACCTCAGCTCTTTCTTTCAAGAACTTCCTTCATTCCCTCCCTCCCCGCTTTCCGCCCTCGTCAGTACTCTTGGGGCTCTAGCCTGTGCTGCTTGTGTGTGGGCGTGCGTGTGTGTGTACCTTGTGTGTTCAGCGAGTGAGTGCGCGTGTGTGTGCGTGGGTGTGAAGGCGTCTCTGTGTATGTTGGCTGGGATTGGGAGTAACCCTGGCGTGCCTTTTACACACCTCCTGTGGAATCAGCAGTCTGGTTTTCAAGCCCCCTTTCTCCATCCACCAAACTCAGCCTCTACCCCACTCAGCCTACCCCCACTCCAAGTCTTGCACGGCCCCTTCTCCCCACCCTTACTCTCCAGAGGAAGCATGGTTTTCATACGGCAAAGAAAGAGCAAGGGTGCAAGCTCTCCTCCCCCCTCCCCTGTAGTATATATCTATGTTAACTAGAAATGTTCACCTGATGTAGACTGAATGCTAAATGTTCATTTTAACCTCTTTTTGATTTTGAAACCTCAAACCCACCAGTAAGAGATTCAGTAAATTGCATCTTAACCTGTATCAGGTCGAAGCAAGTCTAAAAATAGAAGAAGAAAAAAATACAACGCCCATCCTCGATCATTCTGGTGTCATTTGAAAATCATGCTGTTTTTGTTTTATTATTATTATTATTATTATTATTATATTGGAATATTACAGATTATTCTTAGCAATGGTTCTCCAATGAACACTACCTTTCTACACTAACCTTTCTCCCCCCCCCACCCCCCCCCACCGAGCGAGACCGTGAAGCACAAAGCAAGCCAACGATTTTAACAAATTAAAATGTACCTTGAAATAAAGATATCAAATGTATGCAATTATAGTCAAATGTATCGGGTAGCTAGCAGTTAATTCCTGGATTTAATTGGACTTTGAAGATGACTTTCAGTACAATTGATCATTCTGACAGTGTTTCTACTTCATGTAGGTCAAAATCAAGGCGTTGGGCATTTCACAAAATTCAGCCGGTTGACTGAGACATTCACACGCTTCACATGTTATTCCTTTAAGAGATGTTACATGTGGTTTTTTTTCTGTGTCTAGTTTTAGCATTTCTATTTGTTCTTTGACTGCTGAACCAAATGCATTTGAGCAGTATGACAAATCCTGTATATGAAAGTAGTGTATCCTTGAGGGCCTGAAGAGGTTTCTTTTTTTTCTCACCAACGGTTGGCAGTTGTAAAATCTGAAAGCATCCAGCTGTGTAATTTTCCTGGTTGGGATGAAGGATTGGCACCAAATATGAAGGCTCTTTAACTGTGAATGGTTCAGACGTAAAGAGAGGAAACCTAGTTTAATTACTGAGCTTTTGACAGGCTACTACATATTAAAGCGCTGCATTTTCATGACTGAAAAAAACAACATACTCAACGAGAGGCTCGCTAGTGAGCTGAAGGACTTGGTGGTAGACCTGTTAAAGGGCAATGGGTGTGCAGTTATCTGGCCGTGAGATTCAGCAGGCGTTCTCAGTGTCGCACCACGGGGGTTAAGCTGGCACTTCTGTTGAGACTGATTGTAAATCTGTACGTTCCCCTGTAAACTGTTTCTGTGGGGATTTCCTGAACACATTAATAAACATGATTTGATCCAACTGTGTGCTTAAAGTGTTTTATGTCAATGACATACATTCTTTGCTTCATACCAAATACCTGCATGACTAATGACCTTTTGGTTTGTCAACTACTATTGATGGAAAAGGTATATTTAGTATATTTACAGTGTATACATAGCTAGGAAAAAGTCCTGCATTCTAAATGCTACTTAAAGGGGCCGTTTTGGGTCTTCCCTTTCCTGTAGTGGACATTTTAAAAGGAATCTCTTAATTTAAATGTGTTTTTAAAACTATAACTTCATGGAGCCAAATGTGTCTTCAAATGTACTGCGTAAGACCAAAATAATACCTTTTTATAATTATAGATATATAATACATGGGATTTGTATAGCGCTTTTCCTAATGCTCAGACGCTTTACATATGACTGAAAAGTAGTGGAGTAAAATTATAGTAAGTAACTAGCATGATATAGAATACTAAAACAAATTGTAATAAAGACACATTTCATGGAATTTAATAATTAGTAGGATTAAAAATGTCTTTATATTTGGAGATCTGGCAATTGCACGAGTCAGCATAATTTCCACTTTGTCCTGCATAAAAACATGCAGCTGATGTAGAAATGTTGCATCTGGGTTACATTTGATGTTATTTATTGTTATAATAATAGCCTCATTGAATGTGGCTGCTGTTATGTGTCTGTTCCTTGTTCTGGAGCTTCACAGGACTGTAAACATTTAACCCAGGTTGAACTTGTAGTTAAACTTTACTCGGGTCACAGTGAAACACACATGTCAAGTAAAGAAAAACAATTGTGTCACCTGTCTTTCTCCAGTTAACCAGACTCTACCACTTGGGGGGGACAAATAGCATCTATCACAAGTCTACACATCTTTTTGATCCTGATCAAAGCAAAATATAACTGATGTTAGATCAAGCTACTCATTTTAGATAAAGCCATTTCTGACGTTAGATAAAGCCAGTAAAGTAGTCATTGTGTAGAATTAATAGTTATAGTGCATCTCATATTTCTTTATCATGATGATGAATGCTTTTTTATAGTGCACATTTTTATATAAAAATTAAGCGAGGAAACAGAATATTTGCGGTTTCCATAATCCAGTTAAAATGTAAATAAATGTCAATGAACCTTGAAGATTAAATCACCACAAATGCTTACGTAATGCAAGAAAGCCAACATTGTGAAGGTGTGGAGATTATTACATTACATTACAAAACCTGTGCCAAAACATGATAGGCCATGGATGTGGCTTGCATGTCCTTGCCTTACCATGACAAATCTGCCAGTGTCATTCATGCTGTCCAGGTGCTGATATCTATGAACCCTTTCCTCAGCATAATGCATGACGGATCCCTGCAACCAAGGTATGTTTAAAGGGGCCCTATTAGGCCATTTGGGAGAGGAACAAAGCCCATCATACTTGTAGCACTGCAAGTGAATCTGTTAACAATTCTATTTCGCTAGTTTTAACACTGCCATCATGTGGGGGTTTCCCAGATAACACTCTACATTCCACATTGTTTTTCTAGATAAATGTCTTACTCAAGTTTATTAAATAAATGCAGTTCTAATGCAGTAAAAAAGTACCTCTGGCCTCTGAATGTTGGAGAGTTGAAGTATAAAGCCTACAAGTGTAAACAGTCAAATAAAGTACACGTTACTCAAAACCGTTTTTGAGGAAAGGTAGGCCTAATAAATTACTTTTTGCAATAAAATATAATAGTAGGCTACATGAGGAGTAGGCCTAAATGAGCCCGAATGGTGCGCACCATAAATATTATGATGTAAACGAACCCATTCACCTACAAACGGTGTCAGCGGCTCGCTGAAGGAGGGGGTCGGTTTTATGGAGCACACCTGACGGACAGACTCCGCCCTCCCTCCGCCTCTACACTCAGATAATGTTGTTGGCACTTTAGTAGTGGCGCGGCATCCTGTTTTCGTGTGCCACACAGGCCACACATAAGAACAGACACAAAGTCCTTCATCACGTTTTGGCATTAATGCAATGGCATACAGCTGAAAACCTGCCGCCTGACAACGCACAGTCTACAGGTAAGTGTTGCATTGTGCTAACAAGCTAGCCCAAACAGGTGCAGGCTGGTTTTAACCTCAAATATAACGTTTATTCAAATAGATGTTGTAGCCGAAGTTAACCGTATTGTTCTTTATCTCGGTGTCATTTTAATTAAATTGTTTTTATCCCAAAGGAGTTTTAATGAGAAAAGGTGAGTAATTTTCTTCAGTTTCAGTATTACGTTTTGGCGCTGTGTGACAACACCTGTGTTAGCCTAGACTAGAGTTTAGGCTTTTAGAACTACCAGTAGTTAGTCCTTTCCACCCTCCGTTTACAGATAAACAAGAGACGCATGTTCCAGAGAAATAACATTAGTTTATTATTACATAACATGATAAGCTCTTAGTGTTCTGTCTGTGGACTTGTATTTAACTCTAGTTATTTCAGCTCACAAGGTCTGTTAGTCACTCAATGAGCTGTAGTCAAATAACAACATTTTATACTAACATGTATTGTCAGCAATTTTGGTTATTCATTGAAATTAGTACACGTATGTATATAAATACATATACAAATATTCACTGATACAAGCTTCTATCTAGACTGTAATGATTTGATGATTTGTTTGCCTACTATGTGACAACTTAGCCCAGGGGTTCCCGAGGGGAGGTCGCGAGATGATTAAAAAAAAATACAAGATAAATAATTAAAAATTAAAAAAGTATTATTATTATCCAGTGTTTTCCACATAATTTGATTCTATTTGTAGGGGCACCGCAAATAGACAAACTATAGCCTAGTAAAATAAACACCTAATTGTGTATTTTGTACATTTTCCTTCCAAAAGCCTGAAAGAAAACATGTTATGGAATCAAAATAGCACAACATCTCAAAATTGACCAGTGAATGAAAAACGATGTTTTTGCCTGCCGTGTCTCGCCTTAATGAGTGAGACATAACGATGTATGGGAAACACTGTTATTTGTATTACTATTATTAATAATGACGTGTGCATAGACCTTTTTCAGGGACGGACTGGCCATCTGTAGAATGTGTCTCCCCCCCGTTGACAACATAATGAGTTGATGAAGTGGTTATCAAACATAATTGTTAGTTGCAGCCCAACATCTGGGCCATTACTTTTATCTTTGTCTCTAGAGCTCCTAGAGACAAAGTTGTTCTACATGCCCACAATAGGAAAAACCACCTGACTGAGTTTCACGTCAAATGTAATTTAGTATCTGATTCTGTTAGTCCAAAACCCAACAATATTCAGTTTAATAAGAAATAAAACTGAGAAACCTCCAACTTGAAGATGTTTGAGATGTGGCTGGTTATTTTGATTGGTTAATCGATACATTTTTGCAGCTGTAGTTTTGTGTGCAAACATTCTGCATCCTGATGAAATCTTTGTGCCTCTAAAACATGCATTCTGTGTTTGTATCTTTGATGGCATTTTAAATGGGGCTGAAGGATAGAAATGAATACAAATTCACTTATCATTAAGATCAATTATCAAATTCTTCTTGGTGTTCAACTTGGTAAATTTGAAACTGCAGTTGATACTCTTGTCTTGAGCAAGTATTTATGTTGGTGCTGCCTCAGTCAAACTACACACCTAGAGATGGCTTTTCGTGACAACAACAATTACGTCAATGATAAAATGACTGATCACATGACAGACAATGCTACGATTAAAAACAACACTGTTGAGTCACACTATCGTTACTGAAAATAGACTTTGGTGGCACAGAGCCAGAGACATATTACAAACCTGAATTTACACACACACACACACACACACACACACACACACACACACACACACACACACACACACACACACACGACACACACACTACACACACACACACACTACACACACACACACACACACACACACACACACACACACACACACACACACACACACACACACACACACACACACACACACACACACACACACACACACAGAGTGCGTGTTCAAGTTAATAGTGTGAACATTTGATTTGTCACTGTAGAATGGGAAATTCACAGACTGACAAGGTTTCAACATGACATAACAAGTGTTACACATAGAGAAAAATTAATGAGAAAGTATGTCAATTGGATTAACTAGGACGATCACTTGGTGTTGTTGTCTGACATACCTCTCGTGCAAATTAATATGTTATGGGTGTGGATTTATTAAGTTTAGAGCTGATATTACACGCAATTTAATAATACATGTCTCATACAACTTTCGTTCTCTCACATATTGCAGTGCTCTTAGAAATCCTTATCTTAGAAAAACACTTGCTTCAGTCACATGATCTAATGACGTACCCTGGGAGAAGGGCTGCAAAATTATTAAAAATTGAAATCTTAACATACACTTCTGCAAAATTCGAATATTTTGAACGCTAGTTATGTGTTAAAGGGGTCCTGTTATGCTCATATACCTTTACTGTGACATGTCTCCATGCTTTAATGTTCAAAAAGCTTGTAGCATATCCCTCCGAAATATGGTCGTAGACTTTACTGATGATTTAGATGTTTATTGAAACTCCAGAGTCAACATAAGAGCTTGTGCCTCTTCGGGGGGTGCTAACATTTAATCATACACTTTATTATTTTCTTTCTCCGTCGTTATATATAGAAGATACTTTTCTCAGTCACGTTGTTTCTATAGCAACAACAACTTCCTGTCAACAACGTAAACACGCCTTCAAAATAAAAGCATCTAAATAAAACGGGAATTTAACCTTAATTACATTTAAAATGCAATGAAAGAAACAAAAACAATGCAACATCCCCTTCAGTCTCACAGAACACAAATTGGGTTATTTACAAAGCTCTTTATCATCTCATACTCCACCTCTTTTCACCCTCTGTCTGAAACCAAAGTCTGCTCTGATTGGTTAGCTGGCCGGCTCTGTTGTGATTGGTCCATCACTTAGAGATGTTCTCCCCCTTAGTATATCATGTACAATGTAATATCAGCTAGCCAATAGAATCGCAAGTGTTATGTAGCTATGTTACTGAAGTAAACAAAGGACTACAATGGAGGCGTTTCAGGAAAGAGGGGAGTGTGTGGGAAAGAAACTCCCTCTTTAGAGGAACTTGGGGATTTAAGCCTTCACAGACCATTTACATGCACAAAACACATTTATAAAATACTACAGGAAAAGGACAAATCAAATATGCATAATTGGGCCTCTTTCAAATAAAATGTGTAATCAAGTAATATGGCGCTGCAAGGATATTCAAATCATATTCTGTAGACTTAACAAAACATAGTTGTTTGGGACAGATCCTCTCAAAAGAATTACACCATAATAATTGTATATATTTTTCAATGGGGGCTAGGAGCCCTAGCTGAGTATCAAGTAACCATGGAAGGCCACAAAGACAAAAGAATACATTGCATAAAATGTTATATATTTTCCTAAAACTCCTACAAATATTCTTAGTTTCAACACTTATAATAGGTTGCTTATGTTAGAATATCATAGGTCTAATAATATGAATCTTCCTTCCCTCAGGTAACATGATGGAAGTGGCAGGTCCCTGGACAGAGGTGTTTGAGGGCTCGGAGATGAAGGACATGTCCGATGGAGCAGAAACGTTACTGGGGAGCTCCACCCTGACCCTGGCTCCTCTGGTACCTGAGTCTCCTTCCATACGGCGCTCCCAACCCATCCTGATCACCGTAATCAGGTACAGCCAGCAGCAGTGCACACAGGCAGAACGCATTACTCACTGGTTACTCAATATTAACGTGTATGCAGAAAGTGAGTCAATAGTCTTCTGAACTTGCGTATTGACCCAAGTATGTGACTCATCTTCAGGCCAAAAGTCCTCTGACGTGTACAGCAGTTTCTGGTAAGACAACTCAAGGAAGAGTATCGGGGCTAGGCATATGGAAAAGCATTGAAAGGAGGAACATCTTTTTTTCTATATGGCATTTCAAGGAAACCATTCCACTAGTGTTGGTACACATGCTTAAATGTGCCTTTGTTCTACACTTTTTGTGACTGATAAGAGATTTGTTTCTGTTTCACTTCCCTGTGTCTGACATAATAGCTTGTTACAACGTATTATCTAGTGACTGGCTTGTTCTCTGACAATATAACCAAATGCTGTATTCAGCCAATGCAAGCCAAGATAGGGAAGTGTTGTTACTCTCTGTCTGAAGTCCAAATACACAAAAGATCTCTTATGTGGACAAGTGCAAGCATTTGATTTTGAAACACACATATACCTTGAAGAGGCTGAAATTATTTAGTTTTTTCTTATTGTAAAAAATAAATCAAAACAAAGAACCAAATCAAACATGTGTAAGCCTGTCTCTTGACACTTGCTGAGTTGATCACCCCATCCCATTAGTTCCTCCTGAAGACATTAATCTGTAAAGGTACAATCATCAATATTTTTAGCGTCGGTTTAATAAATTACAGTGTGTTGGACTCATGGTGTTTCTCATTGATAAAACACTTGTCAGTAGATATTGTTTTGGTCTCCTTATGGGATTTGTCAACAATATACACCACCACCACTTGTATAGCATGTGACTGTATGGTAAAATAAGTTTCTTTGCAAATGATCTTGGCTGCTCCTGACCTTTTTTTGTGTTCTTTTTAACTTTGTTTCCAGGCCCAAAGGCGTAGAGCACTTCTCTTCCTCGATACCCAACCCCTTTCCAGAGCTGTGCAGCCCCTCCAAGTCTCCAGTGCTCAATAATTCCCTTCCACAACTGTCCAGTAACAAACATGTAAGTTCAAAGCCTTGTTGGTAAGCAAGTCTTTTGCATCTTTAATGGTTTTATATTTTCACACACTGCAGTGTGACTCAGGATTAAGGTGTCTAAATAGTCTACATAAACGAGACGTTGCAAATACAAAACGCTGCAAGAAGATCAAATCACCCTGCAGACGGGCACAGTAAAAAGTGATGTACACATCTGGGACCGGAGCGTTGTTGAAAGTTGGCCAGCTGTCGCAGAGTTAGCTTACAACATCTGTGTGCGTTTCTTTTATTTGACTCCAATATCTAGCCAGCAAGTCACTACCTCTTCTGATGTTTTAAAGTATTGCTCCTTTGCTTCCATTACTTATGTGGGCTACTATTTATTAGTTTGACTTAAAGTGACCAGCTGTTTGAGGGAAATGCTGATCCTTTTTTTTTTTACTATATATTTGTGATCTGTTTTTTAAAGATTCAAAGGTTTTCATGCAATGAATGGATGTCAAGAAAATAAGATAACGTCAGGTTTGATCCTCTCACATATATTTGTTTGGACAACTCACAGCTACAGTGTTAACCCCATCACACCTGCCTGTAAGCTCTGGCAGCTGGATCCCTTTAATGTGTCTGAACTTGCCTTCTAATAGTTCAGATGAAGTTCGGTTATGATTGTGACTGACAGGACGACCGTGTTGCCATGACTGCGCTGTCTTATTTTGACAAACATGCACTGCCAGAATAGACATGTCTAATGACAGCGGCGTGCCACACTGTCTCCTGTGTGTCACGAACAGAAATGGAAGAAAAAACATCGACTTTTATATATTGCTGTGTTACTTTAATCACGCTCATATGCCCCTGTATTATATAAGTGTATTCTTTAGTGGCGCTTATTAAAATTCCCTGACATAATACAAAGGATACAAGAAGATGCTTACACAATAAGACTTCATTTAAGAATTACATAAAAATGAGCAGTGCACTGCAAATATTGCACTGCAGGTAACACTAATGAATGAAATAAAATGTGAAATAATAATAAAGATTTTAATAAAACAACAATCATTTAGTGAAATAAATATTTAAAATGTATATTCTCAGCTGTAATCTTGCTTTTATTTTCTCCGTGGTAAAGAAATGAACAAACATTTAATAATCATGCTTAATTGTAATTAATAAAGTTACCTACTGGGCTCATATTAAATACATTCACGTCCATCGCATTGCCTCCTGGCTTACAAAACATATATATTTATGTGGCTTTGGAGCATGAGAACATGCACAAAAGTGACTTCCTTCCTCAAGCTCTGGACGTTTAGGTGTTCATATCATTTTGTCAATGTAATGAACCTCTTTCATTAAATATCAGCTCTTTCTGAAGCTTCTAGTTAAAACTGTATTTTCACCACCGAAGCAATTGTTCAATCAATAAACATTTTATTAATTAAATTGTTTCTCTACTCGTGTTGTACAAAAATAAAATGTTATATAGCTCCCTATGCTCTCTGACATACAAAATCAGTTTGGGAGGGATCAGCAGCAATGCAGCATCTCAGATTTGATGCACAACATGAAATGCTACTGTCTGAGTGCGTTTTGAACATATGAAGATCTCCACTGTTGTCTCATTCAGCTTTCTATGTATGAAGCAAAGAAACTGTTCTGACTAAAAAGGAACATATGTTCTGCTTTTTAATAAAACCCCCTGGGGAGTCAAAGTGGACTGACCGGATATTGAACTGAAGGAATGTTCCTCCCCTGTAATCCTCCGGTTGATACTCAGCCATTATCAGTCCTGACGTCGGCACTCACACAACCAGTCAGGACTTGCTGATTGACGGCCGCAGGTTTCTGGTCGGGCAGGTTTGTTTTCCTAAAGCTTGCAGGATCCAGACATTGTGTCAGACAGCAGCACGCTCTGAGGAATATCCTGACCCACGAATAACCTGCACCCATTTCACCCCAGCAGCAGAAACACAGGCACTCAGCAAGCATGGCTGCCCCTATCATCTGGAAGGGACAGTTCTTAGAGTTATGAGCTCTCCTAACAATGTCCCTTTTTATAGCTTAGATTAGATGCAGTCTGTAGTCCCCACATGTTTGAAACACTCCACCATCGTTCCTGTCCCCAAAAAGGCAAAAATCACTAGCCTCATTTACCGCCCAGTAGCACTCACCTCCATCATAATGAAGTGCTTTGAGCGGTTTGTCAAAACCTTCATCACCTCCTCCCTCCCTGACTCTCTGGACCCCCTGCAGTTTGCCTGCAGAGCAAACAGGTCCACAGACGACACCATAGCCCTCACCATCCACACTGCCCTCTCACACCTTGACCAGAGGAAAACATATGTGAGAATGCTGTTTATTGATTACAGTTCAGCCTTCAACACCATTGTGCCCTCCAAGCTGGTCATCAAGCTAAGAAACCTCGGGCTCAACAGCGCCCTCTGTGACTGGATCCTGAACTTCCTGACGGGCAGACCCCAGGCAGTGCGGGTGGGAAACATCACATCCTCCACCCTGATCCTCAACACCGGAGCCACTCAAGGCTGCGTGCTCAGCCCTCTCCTCTACTCCCTGTTCACTCACGACTGCATGGGCACACACAGCTCCAACACCATCGTGAAGTTTGCTGACGACATGACCGTCATCGGCCAGATCACAGACGGCGACGAGACCGCGTACCTGGTCGAAAACCTGACATCTTGGTGCCAGGATAACAACCTCCATCTCAACGTCAGCAAAACCAAGGAGCTGATTGTGGATTACAGGAAGCAGCAGAGAGAGGGTCACGCCCCATCGCCGTTAATTTGACTACAGTGGAGAGAGTCAGCAGCTTCAGGTTCTTGGTGTCCACATCACTGAGGACCAGACATGGACTCATCACTGAGGACCTGACTCATCACTAAGGACCTGACATGGACTCATCACTGAGGACCTGACATGGACTCTTCACACCACCACCATCACCAAGAAAGCTTGACAGCGGATCTGCTTCCTCCGCAGGCTGAGGAGGTTCAATATGGACTCCAGGATACTCTGCAACTTCTACAGGTGCACCATAAAGAGCATCCTGACCTTATACAGGTGCACCATAGAGAGTATCCTGACCTTCTACAGGTGCACCATAGAGAGTATCCTGACCTTCTACAGGTGCACTATAGAGAGCATCCTGACTGGCTGCATCACGGCCTGGTACGGCAGCTGCACCGCCCTCAATCGTAAGGCTTTACAGAGGGTGGTGAAAACTGCACAGAACATCACCAGGACGGAGCTGCCATCCATGGAGGACCTTTACTCCCAGCGGCTCAGGAAGAAAGCCCTCCGGATTATAAAAGACCCCTATCACCCCAGCCACAAACTGTTCTGTCTGCTGCCGTCTGGCAGGCGTTACCGCAGCATCCGGACTAAAACCTCCAGATTCCGAGACAGTTTCATACCGCAGGCAATAACACTGCTAAACAACTGAACTGTTGAAACAACATCCATAACATTCATCTACTACTTAGTAATTATTTATCTATATCTAATATCATTCCAATAACTTGCATATAGACTCTTATTGCACTATTTCACTTTTTTAAACTATTTTTCTTTTTGTATTTACTATATTACTATTTACTTGCACTATATTTTTCTGTTTATCTGTGTTTTGTGTTGCAATGTTGGAGAAGCCTGTGACCTAAGAATTCCATCGGCATAACTACACTGTAGCTATGTTCGTATGACAAAATAAAGAACCTTGAACCTTGAACCATCCTGGTAAAGATAAGTTATTTAAAAAGCATCTAAAAACAAAAACAGTTGGGAACAGAGAAAATTATTTTAAAAAGGTTTTCTTAAGCAGGTTTATGGTATATTTCTATACCAACAACTAGGGCTTCACAGTTAATCGATATTTAACAAAATCACAAAATTTATCAGCTTGTGCAATATAGCCTACAAATCACATTCTGAAGGCTTGACACTTGTTTCTTTTTTAAATCACACCATGATCATTTTAATATATTTTCATAATTATTATAATGAGAATTATCATTAAAAAATGGTTGATCCCTGCACAATTGTAATACATATCGCAATTTCAGTATCAGTCAAAAATAATCGCAATTAGTTTGTTTTTCCAAATTGTGCAGCCCTACCAACAACACCGAGACAAAGACAGTAACCAAGATTTCATCATTTTGCATTCAGTATAAAGTCATAGCTCACAACAGAAAAACATACAATTCCATGATTGGTTTTTGTTTTAGTTACATAATTAGTTACACATTTATTAAATTACTTTATTGGAAAAAAGCCAAGCGATTCCTCTCATTCTCTTAGTCTTAATCTTCGATGCATAAATATCACAAATTGTATCATCATAACATTTCACTGGAGGGGGGCCTCCAAAGCTCAGTGTTACAGGGGCATTGGCCCCTGTTGGCCCCCCCTAGTACCGCTCATGTTCCGTCTCTCCGAGTAACAACCTGTTATGTAATTCCAGTTAACTTTATGACTTTATGACAGTTCTATCTAAAATTATGACAGGCTGTCTCTTTTCGGAGCCAGCGACTGTCTGCCTCTGCAGTGCAGTTGACAGATTATTGGCTTCCCATTTTGGCTTCCTGTCTCATGTTTTGAAGCATTGCCAAAGCCAGGTGTGAAAAGTGTTATCACTGTTATCAAGAATAACCCTGCTTTATCAAAAATAATTCAAACACTTTAATACATGAGATGACCTCTACACATGTCAACTAGCTGTTAAGTGACCAGTGTGATATAATTGAAGAAGATTTAGAATCTTTTGAAGTCTACTTTACTATATGTCAGAAGGATCAAGTTGAATATCATTTATTTCATAGGTATAGTTGGTCAACAGTTGCTTCGAATAGAAAACCTATCACCAGTTTATTTGAATATCGTCGAAACAACAATCATTTTGTGATATTGGATTTTCTTGTTGATGACCAATAAGTGATATGAAACTAGATATTCTCTAAGTCGATATGAGAGATCGCAATAAGTCTTTCCCTGGTTTTAATGGCTGAAGTACAGTTAATGGATGTCATTTTCTGAATGATCTAGCTGTTCAGATCTAATGATTATTTATCAAAATTCTCATTGTGCAATCATTTTTTCAAAAGCATCAATTGTCAACCAAACAATATCGACACAATATCAATATCAAGGTATTTGTCAAAAAATATATTTTGATAATTGATTTGTACTCATATGGCCCAACCCTAGCCTTACAATGAATGTATTTCTTGGCATGGCAACTTGAATTATGGGTTATTGCTTCCTTTACTCTAATGATCTGAATATATCTTCCTCCTTTCCCTCAGTTGGTGAAGGTGTACGGGGAGGACAGCCACAGCAGGTCGGTGTGGGTTTCTCGAGCAGCGACAGCCAGAGAGGTGTGTCACATGTTGGTGCAGACAGCTCACTGCAGCGACCAGGAGAACTGGGCTCTGCTGGAGCTCTATCCCACCCTGGGCCTGGGTACGACTGAGCTGTAGGATAAACATAAAGTTTAAAGGAATACTTCACCCACAACATGGCCATTTGTATACCAATTACTCACCCTGGGTTAGTTTGAATTCATTAAGAAAATGTAAGATAACAGGTTCTTGCATACCTCCATGGTTGGCGGAGAATCAAAAAACGTAATGAATTGAAGTTGGTGAAACCCAACAACATCAAAACAACATATCTCACAATACTCTTGCAGTTTAATCCAAGTCTTCAGTTCTTCCTGAACACATGATTTCATTATTTTAAAACAATATCTTTATTGAGTTTTTTTACGTATTTTTGACAAATGAGTGACAAACTAGTGACACTCACAAATACAGACAATACTGAAATGACACAGGCTCAAGTCAGTCAGTTATTAATGTATAATATATACAAATTCCACTTACTTTATACTTTTGACGGAAAAATCTAAATAAATCTAATGAAAAGAATAGTAAAAAGACAAACATAAAACTATTATACCGGCTTTGTACTTTGGTGTTGAAGACAGTTTAATAAGAGATACCATACTTTTTCAAATTATTTTTAAATAATGAATGTAATTAATTGACACTAGTTTAAATAGTGAGATTTTAGAGGGACCCTATTATGCTCATATGCCCAAAAATGAGTGTTACCAAGTGATGTCATTGTGTTACGGAAGAAAAAAAGGAAGAGTCCAGTGGATGTGTTTCAGGCAGGTGGGAAGTGTGAAATACTTAATTATCTTCAAAGAATAAAGGTAAAATGGGGTGAGTAATTGATATACATATAGTTATACTTTTTTGGGGTGAACTATTCCTCTCCTAAATGGTAAAGAATGCTTTATGAAATGTTCTCCTGTCTACTCAGAGAGATGCCTGGAGGACCACGAGGTGGTGGTGGAGGTTCAGGCCACCTGGTCTCTCAAAGGCGACACAAGGCTTGTTTTCTGCAAGAACTACGCCAAGTACGAGTTCTTCAGGAAGCCAGTGGTAAGCAGCACACAGCCTTTTTTTAAAACTCAAAATGTAACAATGCAACTCTGAGAATAGAATACAAAATACAAGAGGGAACACATTTACATCACTTGCTTTTATATAACTACTAAAAAACAAAGTCCTTGGCGGGTTGCGTGCTGCCGCAGACAGGCTTACTTCATGTCTCAGGTATTTCATGACATCAGATCTGCTCTGTGAGCCTGTGCTCTTAAACAAAGGTGACACTTGAAATTAAAAACTGGTTTTGATGATCCTCCCACTGGTGTTTCTTTAGAGTATGCCTCACTGCCTCCAAAGGCATTAAAGTGAATTTAATCATGGACTCACTGCATTTCACTCATAAAATGTGTCCTACACTGTGACCATGTGTCATGGAGCAATGCATACCACAGGATACAAGTCATTCATAGCTGTAAATTATTTAACTATTTTTAATATTAAATCATCTTGATTTTCTTGATTCATCAATTGATTGCCAGTCTAGCTGGACATTTCTAAGTGGTTGCCGAATCACAACCAAGCCGTCCAGCTAACCAATCAGAGCAGACTGGGCTCTGGTTTCAGACAGAGGGTGAAAAGAGGTAGGTAGTATGGCAGTAGGAGAAAAATAAAGAGCTTTTTGAACATTAAAGCATGGAGACATGTCACAGTAAAGGCACAAAATACAATAATAACCTGAAAATGAGCACATTATGTCCTCTTAAAGCTCTACAGTCATTTCAACACATCCAGGTGCATACAGTATGCAAACAAAGACACCAAAAGGACCTTGTGTTTCACTCCGAGAACATTTGAAATGTGACACCTGTTGGTTTTGTGCACAGGTGGTTAACAATGCATGGCTGATCATTTATTTAAGGCTTTGTCCGAACTGTATGTAATGATGTTTCATCAGGTTTCCAACAAAGGAGCATGTGTTTAATCTGCATTTCCAGGATAATCACTGTCAAAAGCAGAATCCTGCAGCTTCCTTGTCTTTCAATGAGGGTTTTATGATGACATCCTTCTGCTTCCTTTCTCAGCTCTTCTTCCCAGAGACTATGATCTCAGACAGCGCTGATGTCACCAAGGACATGACGTCCTCAGAGCTCATTCAGGTAAACCTGCTGAAATCACACACATTCATGTAGAAACACTGATAATCATCAGTGGACCTGTCTGCTTAAAGTTTGTTTTAATTATATTTATTCAGACACAAAGGCTGGTAAAGCAAAGGTATCTATTTTTAAATAACTTCTATAAATTGCCATATTCATTTATTCATTAAAAGTGTGATAACTTAACTGAATATGTATTCAGCTTCATTTTATTTTACAGAACACTGCCTAGAAAATTATTTTTGTATTAGTCTTTTCTTCTTTAAAATATAAGAATATTACAAAAAAGAGTTTTGGCTAACTAAAAAATATCTGTTTAGAGAGGTATAAAAGAAAGAAAAAGCCACACATCGTAACATTCTCTGTGCTCGGGACGGATCGTTTTTGGCCATTTTTAGAAGAATAAATCAATAACAAAAAATGACTATCAATATATTTTCTGTTTCAACCCTTGATGGGTTCAAACTGTTTATCATGCCAATTTTGTTTCCCTACACACACATATCGGAAAAATATTATCGTTTACCAAAAACAATGTCCTCTTGCATGATCAAAAATTAGGAAATAATTTATTTTCATGTAAAAAACTAAATCAAGGGCATATATTTTGAAATAATTGTTTTGCAACAGTTTATTTCTATATCATAAAATATTGTGTTCATACATTTTTATGAACACAATCTTCCTTTTTCATACATCATTCTTTGTGCATTACGAGCCTGAGAACAACGGCAGCTCACTGTTCTGATCCCTTGTGTTCCTCAGAACCTGCTGAAGTCCGGGACGTGTCCGGAGATTCAGGGCTTCCTGCAGGTCAAAGAGCCCAGTCGTAAGGCCTGGAAGAAGGTCTACTTTTTCCTCCGCCGCTCCGGGCTCTACTGCTCCACCAAAGGCTCCTCCAAGGTCAGAGTCAAACATTATGAATAAATAAGCGCAGACTAAATGGATAAATGACACTTTTTTTATAAAAGAAAATCTCTTTAAATCTATGAAAACCCACAACCCGGCCATTCATCATAGTCTGAAACGAAGGACAAATCATGTGAGAGGAACACTTCTATCAGCAACTTCATTAAAATTATTAAAAAAAACCTGTTCCATTTATTTTGGCTGATATTGCAATTTCAATATGCTGAATTTTCAGCATATTGAATATATATTCAATATTATTATTTGAAAGCCGGGATATCTTTGCATCTCTACAATACTGCATTCAAGTGGTATTTTAACACATGTTTAACCTTGATCAAATATTGTGCTTCCTGTGATTTGGGAATTGTACTAGTCCATATTGCCATTTCAATAACATTTGGATCAAACAGGAGCCTCGCCACCTTCAGTATGTTGCTGATCTGGACGATCTGAACGTGTACACAGTGGTGAACAGCCGTAAACTGTACGGAGCGCCTACAGACTTCACCTTCTGCATCAAGGTAAACACTTCAGAGAGATGGGATTTTAGATGTCTAACAACTGCCTCTGCTTGGTCACATTTCTCATAAAGAATGTAGAATATCAACTGTTCAAAATTTAAATTATCAAATGGACTTAGCATTTAATGAAAATTGTGAAAACTAAATCTCAAAGGAGCTGTGTGTACTATGTGTGTGTGTGTCTGTACAGCCCTCCAAGAACCCTGTGCGCACTCAGGACCTGAAGATCCTGTGTGCTGAGAACGAACAGACTCGAACGTGCTGGACATCTGCTTTCAGACTCTTCAAGGTTTCCTGTCTTTTTCCTTTTCCTTTTTCCTTTTTCATTTACTTAAGTATATGGGAAAAAACAGCTGGTTACATAATACAATTTGGGAGAACATCATCCTTGAGTATAGCAGTAACCTTTATTTTGTGTGTGCGCAGTATGGGAAGCAGCTTCAGTGCAACTACCAGTTATCCAAGTCGGCCCCGAAAATCCTGGAAGGAAGCAAACTCACAGAAGCCAAAGTGAGATCATCAGACATGTCACATGATATGATTAAGAGGAGAAATCATTGTGTAGTGTCGTCTCACATTTCTCTTCTCACACACGCTGCTTGTTTCTCTGTGTGAGCAGTCAAAGTCCGAGGCGAGCCTGGTGGCCATGGACTTCTCGGGCAAGGCCGGCGGGCGGGTCATCGAGAACCCAACGGAGGCCCAGAGCGCAGAGAGGGAGGAGGGGCAAGCCTGGAGGGTGAGGACATGAGGGGAGGGTCATGGCTGCTGAGCGGGAGCAATACAAACAGTTCAACTCTTGCATTTTTATGCAAGAGTTGGCAGGCATCACATGGTAACTTACTTCCTATAAACATATTTTTCACCATATGATAAAACTGGTGGAATATATCAGAGGTTGCAGTTCTATATTTCTATATTTTGAGAGGAGGCATGTACTAGATGGTGTGTGTGAAAAAATCCTTTTCCGACCCTGCTCAGGTATTTTGATCACAGGCTGACTCTCTCTGATTCTTTGTTGCAGGCTTTGAATTTTTTAAAGAAAGAAAAAAAGTCAACATTTATCTAATATACAAAATAGTTTCAAGATTCTTCTATGACAGTATAGTGTTTAAATATTGGATTGTGGACAAACCAACACAGACTTTTGAAGACGTCATTCTGGGCTTTGGGAAAATATTTCCCCCTTTTTCTGAAATGTTATAGACCAAACAACGGATTGATTATAGAGAATGAAATCATGTAGGCTTGTTTAAAAAGCTAAAATGTAAGGATGTAGAAAACATCCACAAATATCTGACTGATTTTTTTCTTCCACTGGTACAGAGGAGAGAAGCCCTGAGGTGCAGTCTGCCCAACTCCAACGCCGCCGCCAGACCGTCCTGTAAGTCCACATGAGAGGACAATACATCACACCTGTGGAATGTGAAATACTTGTCCCCTCTCACTTTTCTGATGTTTACCGTCTTTTTGTCTGTCTGTAGCCATCCATAAGTCCCAGCCGTGGTTTCATGGTGGCATCTCCAGAAAGGAAACGCAGCGGCTGATAGAGAAGCAAGGCCTGGTGGACGGGTGAGTGGAGAGACTGCAGGGGAGATCCTTTTACTAAACACTGTGTGGTCTCAAAAACTCTCTTATGGAACCAAAACCCAAGTTGAATTCATTTAATCTCTGCCCAGTGTAAACCTAGAGGGAGAGAGTGTGTTTGATTGGGTGTGTCTGTCTGTTTGCAGTTGTTTATTTATTTAGTCGTTTATTCTGAATACTAATTACACATTGTTTGTGCTGATTAATGACTGTATGCTGAAGATTAAATAGATTCACAGGCTTTATTGATCTCAGGCAGGATTCAAACCTGTATCCACCACAGCAGGGACTTGCATTGGGCTTAAATTGGGCTGCATCTATATCCACTGAGCTTTACAGTGGCCCTGCAGGTCATCTTTGTCGTTGCTCAAATAGTGACAGCCGTACAAAAGTTTGGTCTCATTTTCAAAATAAATATCAGTAGAATACACTATAACTGAAACACTAAATGTAGTTATGTTACAAGACTAATACATCCAGTTTGATTATAAGGGAGCTGGGAGGGAGAATAGATTGATGCTCTATATACATTTGGATAAGTCACTTAATATACTATTATGTCATACACGGTTAACACTTGCACAGTGTTTGAATTTTAACCAAGTAGCGCTGTTTAGAATCCTAAACAGCTGCTGTGCCCTCACAGGAAGTGATGTTCCCGGTTGTTAGCTAGCAAGTTAGCTTGACATTTTTTTGATCACGGTACATACTGTACTACTCAATCAACTAAATTAAATAAACAGTGGCTTCATTATACAAAAGTACAGTGGTACGTTAATTAAAATGTGAAGTGAAGGTGAGAAGTGTTCCGTGTTGCCGTACTTCTCAGTGTTAACATACTTATGCACTCACTAAGAATGTGAATTAGGACAGAGTATGAGATTTCATTCCTTAATGGGAGGGTAGAGGGAGACGCCTGGTTGTTGTCTTTACTGCACTGAGTGACCTTTTCTAGTTTTACGTAATAAACCCGGACCAGTGCATTAAAGTAAGTTAGTATCTGAACTGTTTCTCTGCACGTGTGTTTCTGTGTAGGATGTTCCTGATCCGTGAGAGCCAGCAGCACGCCCAGTGCTTCGTCCTCTCGCTGTGCTACAAGCTAAAGACCAAACATTACCTAGTGATCCCTGTGAGTTCCCCTCAAAGAAACTCCATTCTACCACAGATACAACACATTTGTATTTGCAATTACAAAGTGTGTTAAATATGTACTTTATTATAATTGTCTTTGTATTATCTGCAGTGCGAGGAGGGAGGCAGGAAGTACTTCACCATGGACGACGGGCTGACTCTCTTCATAGACCTCCTGCAGCTGGTGGAGTTCCACCAAATCAACAAGGGCATCCTCCCAGTGTGCCTCAAACACCCCTGCGTCTGTGTAGCGCTGTGACACCCTTTACAGCTCCTGACCTCTGCCCTGTTGATCTTTTTATATTACCTCGACCTCAAAAGCATGTTTGTCAGTCTTTGGATTTTATTGACCCTATAAGCACAGCTGATAAAGAGCAGACTGTTGGTACAGCAGTGCCTGTGTGATAACGCTATCAGGTTTCTAAGACTCCTGGGGAGCCCCCCCTTCTCTCTTTAGTTTTTAAATCATTCCAGCTACACATCCAGACAGTGGTTCGTTTTTTATTTTAGTGCACTTTGATTCAGATCCACGTGATGAGAGGTGTGAGGGCATGCAGGAGGACGTTTTATTGGAGGACTGAGAGAATGTGGCCACCAGAGGGCACTCCGAGTCAACACTCAGAAGAGGAACTCGTATTTTTCAGCCATGCAGTGTAAGACATGTATTTTTTGTAGTGTTGTAATCATGAACATGCCCCAGGTTGCAATGATGTAGCATGTCAATTTTCACTCCTCTGACTCTGTGAAGTTTTGGACAGTAATTTTCTTGTTGGTGCCTTAAAAACAATCTGATGTTTTAATTAGAACAAACTTTAAGTACTTTCAATGCTACGTTTGCACAATGGTGGTGAAGGGGACTGCAGTTTCTTGTGTTTAAACAACCAAATATATAACATGGAAGGGTTTTATCAGGGTGTTTTTTACCCCCGGAGAAAGCTTTAATTAAGACTTTATGACGGCGCTTTATTTTAGATAGATATATCTTAATATTTTTTAGGACGTTTCTTTTTTGGTGTTTGATATTGGCTAAAAAGGTGAGCAAGTTTAACCTTTTAAAGTCTTATTAGCATAAAATAGTCGGCAAAGCGGAAGTCTAGACAAACATAGAATAAAGTTAGCAGTTAGCAGTGATTTTCATATATTTAATATCGAATTACTGATTTATTGCCAGTTAACTCCTTCCAGCAGTAAAATCCAGCATTTCTGACCTTTTTGTTGATTGGTGGTTGTTTGATCATATTTTCTTTTACTTTAAATATTTGCACTTACTGTTTGCTTTTTATAATGAAGGTCCATTTCTTAGCCTGTCTACAAAGATATGCATTATTATTATAATTCATCTAGTACTAGGCTTACTTTTTTCACCCTTTTTTGTCTTAAATCAAAAGTTAGTTTTATACACTTTGAATGTTTGTGCCTTTTTCAGACCTGTTTTATATGTTAAATAAATATTTTTTCTTAAATTGTAAATATTGTCTATTGTGTTAACTCTAAACCAAGACTATTTATGGGGCTAGAATCAGGCCAGCAGTTTTGATTGAACGTAACTTATAGTTCAAGGTTACATTTGGAAAAATACAAAAACATAAAATCTGCAACTGAAAAATACACCTTGAATGACTAATTATGTGAAAGAATGTTTAAAAGGGAAAACACATTCACAAGAGTGTCAGAAATTAATCATTAATTGAACCTTAAAATTATCCAACACTATTTAGTGTGAATACATCGCTGTATAATTCAAATAATTCAGTACTATAAACTGGAACTCTCCATAGTTTTTCAAAACTACTGGCCAGGGAATCTGTCCATAGTCAACCCCTCTAAACTTCTAAGATGGTTTTATTCATTTTTTTTAAAGGAAAAAAAAGCTAGCTCAAAAAACTATGGAAATGTGTGACGTTTTTTCTTTATTCCTCTCCCTAAATACAAAAGACTAAATACACGTTAATGCCCTGTGCACTTACTGTATATATATATATATATATATATATTTTTAAAGTTACTGTATATCATTTGCATGCTCAAGTAAGAATACCCTAAAACTACTGGTACCTGTGTTGAGTTCCATTTCACCAATACATTATCTTAACAGTACTGCTCTTTCTGGTTCAAAGAAGATCATTATAAAACCATTATCAGCCTAAAACCAGAATAACTGAAAAAAAAGCTGGCCTGCTTCCTGGCGATCTGATTGGTGGAGCCACATAAAAGGCAGCCGGAGGTTACAGTGTCCTGGCAGTGTGCACAGAACCTCTGCTGGAGGCACAGAGCCTGCACCACAGCTTCCCAAGCTAAAGAGCTGATGTCTCTGTCGCTGACCTACTCTGAGTGTGTGTGTGTGTGTGTGTGTGTGTGTGTGTGTGTGTGTTTGTGTGTGTGTGTTTGGCTAAATACCAGTGTGCTTGGTAACCCTTACTCTTCACTGCAGAACTTCTCTTAAGAGGGGTTGCTATGGAAACACTTTGTCCTGGATGGCCAGGTAAATGAAGGGGGGTGAAATGAAGACGGACAGAAGGGATATAGGTCAGGAAGCTTTGAAATATGCAGTGAAATGAAGGATGTATGATCACTGTGGATATCAGCCTTTTCTGTTCAAAGTGGGATACATTCTACACTGTGGGTTTGTCATTTTGTAGGTTGCAATTTTCTGATAATATATCTACTTAGACTTCCAAACTGATATATAACATTTTCTCAATTATCCATATCTGTATATATTGTAGCGTTCACAGATGGAGTCGGAAACAGGCTTCTAGTTATTAGGCTTTAATAACTCTTATTTTCTTTGAAGATCACAGGTACATATATCGCTTGCAGGTTCAACCTCACACTCTCTTAAGCTCTCACACACACACCTTTATAACCCAGACTACGTCACCACTTCCCGCCCCCCCCCGTCTGCTCCCCCAGTATCCCGGTACAGCTCTATGATTGGCAGAGAGACGGGGGATACCTGAGTGACACCCTCAGCATCCTATCAGAGTCGCTACAA